CTCTCTCTCTCTCTCTCTCTCTCTCCCTCTCTTCCCCTCTCCCCCTCCCCTGTTTGTGCATATGCATGCACTCTCTGTCTCTTTCTGAAAATAAATAAACTTGTGCTTGCTTCGGCAGCACATATACTGAAAATAAATAAACTTAAAGAAAAAAGATTTTGCTGTTTCCGTAAAAGACCACCTTGGAGGAAGTTTCCAATAACCAAAATACTAAGAACTATCTATTGAGCACCTGCTATGGGCTGTGTGCTATGGGCCATATTTCTGGGTACTTCAATAGGCTAGATCCTTACTCTTGGTTGCTAGTTAAAAGAACTTATTGGACCATGACTCTTGATAATTTTAAATAATCATCCAAAGTCTTTAGTTCTATTAGTTAAGGTATCCCTGATGTAATAGGCTGACTTAATGATAGTAAAGAATACTGATATCTCATTTGCTTTTTTTGTTCTTTCCTCTAGCCTCATTAAGTTAGTTAATCTTGGTTTTCATAGCCTTCATCCTTCCTAATGCAATTTTCAAGTCTCCTAACTATGAGTTTTTCTTTTCTTTTAGCACTAATCTCTTTTTTATTTTTATTTTTTTTTTTGAGAGAGAGAGAGAGGGACAGCGTGGGTATGTGCATGTGCACATGGGTGGGGAAGGGACTGAGGGAGAGAGAGAAAGAATCTTAAGCCATCTCCATGCCCAGGGCAGAGCCTGGTGCAGAGCTCAATCTCACAACTGTGAGATCATTACCTGAGATGAAATCAAGAGTTGGAGGCTTGACCAACTGAGCTACCCAGGTGCCCCAGCACCAATTTCTTTTTTAAAACACTTTCCCTAGAAAGTAACTTTTGGAAAGTTTTGTTGTTTTTGTGATAGACATGAGTGATTACATATCCCATCGTAACTAAAAGAGGAAGACTAGGGGAAGTTGAAAGATAAAGGGAACGCAGAAAAAATAGAGTAAATATCATTTTCTAAACCAAAGATTTTTTTTCTATACAAATTTTAGAGTCAGATATAGATTGGAGTACATGGTTAGATAGTGTCCAAATCTGGGATAGTGTAATAAGTTTGGATAGTAACTATCAAATGCCACTATAATCCTTTTAACTGGACTGTTATAATACATCTTATTTGGAAAATCCTACTAGTCAATCACACAGTGGTTTGTCTATACCTGATAGTTACAACCCGACAGCAAACATTACAATTCTACCACACACTATGATTAAGCTTTTATTTATTAAAAAATTTTTAATGTTTATTTATTTTTGAGAGAGAGAGAGAGAGAGAGAGAGAGAGAGACAGAGCATGAGTAAGGGAGGGGCAGAGAGAGGGAGACACAGAATCAGAAGCAGGCTTCAGGCTGTCAGCACAGAGCCCAACACAGGGCTCAAATTCACAAACCGTGAGGTCATGACTTGAGCTGAAGTCTGACGCTTAACCGACTGAGCCACCCAGGAGCCCCTAAGCTTTTAAATTAAAGTTGCATAGCTGTGTAATAATTGGAATCTAATTCCTAATGAATTTTATAATGAATAATAATGAATAATTCCTGTCCTTTTAGCCATAGATCTTGAGAGGCAAAAACATTTCCACCAACTCTGATACAGGTCAAATTTTTTAGGTATCAATATATTATAATATAAAACATACCTTTAGATGTTTCCCAGCATACAAAAGAATCAATTAAAGACAAGCCTTGTTTATAATAAAATGTAGTTAACTCCAGCCAATCGGCATCAAGTGTACTAATGACAGATCCTTTTCTTGTTACTTTCATTGACAGGATGCCTTCCTGATAGGTCCAGCAGGTTGATTCATCATCGAAAACATTGAATATTGTATACAACTTGTTTTCTAGGGATAGGCATTCAGAAAGAAGAAAGATTATTTATTTATTAATTTACTTATTGAAAAGATTCCTAAACATTTTTTTATTACTCATGTATTTCAGGCATACAGACAAACATGGAGAATAATAAAATTACCCACCACTCAGCTTTATTAAATGTTGACCTTGTGCCATGTTTCCTTCAGATTTATTTTTCCAGAAAATGAGAAATGGATGTAGTTGAGGCTTACTATGTAGTCTTCCCTAATCCAGTTCTCCCGAAATAGGTATTATAATAATTTGGTGTTTATTATTCTCATGCAAGCTTTTATTCTTTTAATATACTTTTATATACCCATATATATGTATATATATATATATATATATATATATATATATGTATATATATATATATAATATTCTGAAGTTTAAAAAACTTTTAAAAAGTGGTGTTGTATATATGCATCTATAAATTGATTTTCTTTTGCTTGGAGTGGAATTAATACATGTAGACCTTATTCATTTAGTTAAACTGCTACATAATATTCTAGTTTATTATTCTCCTGTTGATGGACATATACATTGCTTCCAATTTTTGTCATTATAAACATTGTTCATGTTTCCTTAGACACACATGTGGGAGTAGCTTCTAGCATACATATGTAGACATGGAACTGCTAGGTCATATCTTCTACTTTTCCATAAGTTGACAAATTCTTAACTTGGGGAGTGGTGTAGGGACCCACCTCTATGGTTGTGTTTAGGAAGTCTAAATCCACTTGCATTGCAAAAGTATTTGGGGGTATGTATGTACATGTGCATTTTTCTGGATTGAGTCTCTGTGGATTTCACCAGATTCTCCAAGAGATCTTTTGTGTGTATCTCCCCCAACCTCATGCTGCCACTACCCCACCCTGACAGCCCAAATTAAGAACTTTTGCCATAGACAAATTATAAAGAAGTATAGGATTTAAACTATTTAGAAAGTGGAATCTAAAGATTGTTAATTATGGGAATACAAGCTGGTGCAGCCACTCTGGAAAACAGTA